TACACCGCCTACTTCGACACCCTCCCCGAAAACGGTGTCATCGGTCGTGGCTACGGCCTCCAGTCCAAAAGCAAGCGCGTCGTGTTCAATGTCACCAACGAGGGCAACCTCGAGCTCATCGGCGACGGCAAAAAGCTCTGGTCCTTCGACGGCAAGAAGATCTCGTTCGTGAAGATGCAGACCGATGGGAACTGCTGCGGTTATACCGCCGAAGGAACCCCAGTTTGGGCTACCCAGACTAATGGGAACAACCACCCCTACGCGCTGGTTTGCCAGGACGATGGCAACTTGTGCGTTTACTCCAAGGGAGGGAATCCTGTCTGGGCTTCCCAGACTGGTGGCCAGATCCGTTGAAGGCTGATCTCCTTTGTAAGTTAGATTGCGACTGACTTCCTCGCATGGCTGGTCATTCTAACATGATGCGACAGGATTCAACAAATAATTTGCCTGGTGCCTGCTCAAGAGAGATGAAAAGAAAATACAGAGAATTCGACTTGCGAGCTTTGTATTGGTTGTTTAGGTCATGGTCTTGTTCGATGTACACGTACGAAAGATAAATCGAGTTGTCAATGTTGTGGTTACAAGTTGTCCAGAAGCTGAAAACTGGCCTCGATGTCCAGAGTATACTCCTCACTATTTTCCCAAGTCTACACATCTAGTTGACTCGTGAACGCCAACGTCCATTGCATGTCGTAGTCAACAGTGGGCTAGTTCAAGCTGCTGTTTAGGCGCCGGCGCTTACTCAAAGCCATACTAGCGCATTCATCAGCAACGACGGATAGTCTGTTCAAAGGCAACACCCATGAACGTAGATAGCGAGCATCCGAATACCGTACATCCTGAACTGACTGTAGGCACCTACTGGGTATCCAGATCGAGAACCAGACAATCCCGAATCCTTGACTCAAACCACCATCCCCTTCGTGCCCCCGCACTCAAAGCCCAGTTCTCCCATCAAACAAAACATTCAACCACGCCGCCAACCGATACCCCTGCTTCGCGATCTGCGTCTCGATAAGCGGTACGGCACCGGTATAGTAATTTGTCGAACACAGATCCGAGAATTGGGGGTAGGTGAACACGTACGACTGCAAGAAGAATCGAAAGATTAGCCTTCGAGAAACGGTCAATTAACGGTAGAGCTAGACGTACACAAACCAAAGCGTTCGACTCTCGAGCCCATACGAGGGGACACGCCAACGGGGCCGCCCGTCGAACTAATTTTCCTGAAGTTGCAGTGTCGTCGCTAAACTCGGTTTGTGTTGTCGAAGAGCAGGAGATCCATCCGGCTGCGGAGGATCTGTACGTTCCGGTCTACGGAAAACAAACGAACGATCGTCAGCGGGAAGAAAACCATTTGCTTTCGCCAACGGCATACCTTGATTCGAGTGACGAGTGTATTCACCCAGTTTGTTACCGAGTTGTCATAGTTCGTCTGTAAGAGCCTGTTGATCAGGCCTGAGTCTATCCACGGCCACTGTCAGCAAGGAGTGTAAAAGCAGACGGTAGTGTGTCGTCACATACCCCAGACCTAGACAAAATGGACATCGATTAGCTACCACCGGCATGCTGAAAATCCAGTCTTTGAACTCACGGAATGCAAATTCGACGTCGACCCGCTACACTTGACAGAGATGTCGTTCCCACCGACGGCATCGTTTTCGACGTGGAGAGGTTGGCCGATGTCTCCGATGAACTATGTACGAAGGTAAGGTGTCAACAGAGGGAGCGGGACAGCGAGTGGATTTGACATACGTGATCGAGAAATTTGAGCGCCTCCTGCGTCTGAGTAGCACTCAAGGACTCGTCGACCACTCGAATAGTGTAGTTCGCGATAGCGGTCACTGATTGACATGCGTAAGATCCGTGTTTTATAGTTCAACGTTGGTGGAGAGGAGCTCACAGACACAAGCGCCATCTGTGCAATCCCGGGTTTGATTGACGTTACATGTCCTCGGTGGGTTATCTGGTAGGTAGTTGGGGTACATATTGAGGATGAGTTGCCGTCGAGTTGAGTATGGCTGCTACTCACCGAGGGCATCGACATAGTGCAACGGCGAGGACCTGTATGAGATGACGTTGAAATGACTTGAGGTGTGTTCTTAAACAGAGGCGTACCAAGCATAAGCTGGGTTGCTCCGCGTTTCGTCTGCCCACTGGAGGCATCGGGCGTTAAATCGGATACCAAGGATCAAAAACGTGGGCACTCACAGTGGCAGCAACGCCAAGAGATCTGTTGTACTGGCTTCCGAGCGTCTCTTGCACGAACGAGAGGGCATTCGGGGTGAGAAACTAGGGTGCACACATTAGCAGAACATCTCGCAGTATCGTTCTTGCGATGCACCTGCATAGCGATATATCTGAGAACAGGGTGAGATTCGAGCCATAAAAGGACCTGCCTGACGACGTACCCGACAGCTTGATGACCTGACGCGCCCCAAGCATACGCTCCCGGTAGCGGGGAGAAAGCATAACAGAAGGTTAAGACTGTGCCCGCCAACACTTTCATTTTGGAGAGATCGGGGAGGGATGGAGAAGTTTCGTTAGCATCTGGAGGGCTTTATATAAATGAAGGAAACGTGATAAGAATAGACCCTACACACCTCGCGCATTGAATTGATAAGGCAGCCACGCCCACATGCATCTCCGAGTCTTAGCATCAGTCAAGGATCGGGAGTGTGTCACATTAGAACTCGTGATAGTCGATGGTCGGTTTACAAGGCCAACATGGCATTGAGCTCGAGCACATGGAGAATGCTGGTATTTTTGAGAAGAAGGCCAACTTTCATCTGGTCCAGGCATCTAGCAGACAATTGGGTGGCAGCTCAAACGTGCAGGCACAACTGCAGCGTACAGAACGTAAGTCCCAGGTCGTACCCAAAATAAGATGGAGGATTCTTACCTTCTCGCCCTGTCCACCTGGCAACAACTCAGGCACTCAACGAGTGGACCCAGCGCTCCCGATTCCCATTTCCACGACATATTTCTCCCTGCCTATCCTGCGCATCTCATCCATCACTTCCCCAACCTTCTGAAACTCGGCCCATCGCTGCCCGGAAGCCTCTCCGCCGGTCTCCTCTTCCTGAACAGGCTCCAAAAATCTGAGCTTCAGAGCCAGCCACTGCATCGCCTTGACATTTTCCGCAAATTCCTCCACGTCGTCCTTCATTCCCTGCGCGTAGATCACGCCTGGATATCCAACTTTAGCAAATCCCGAGAGCGAAAGAGAAGATGACCATTGTTGGAGGTTACGTCGTTTGGTAGGCGAAATGAGATGGTGGGACGTGAAGAGAGCGTGGTATTTTGTCGACGTCGATGAATGCGCGAGGCCATCATTCTCTAGAGGTGATTCGGTGGGCTTTTCCGCGTTCTCGTGTAATAGAGGTATCAAATGCGAAGATAAAAGCTCGTATACAGGGTACCTGAGAGAAATTAGTAGCCCGTACGGTATATGTACTTCTGAATTGAACTCACCCAGAATCGCGATGCTCTGCCAACACTTCCTCCAATTTTTCTTCAACAGTCTCTTTCCAACGCTCTTGATCTGCTCTTGACAGTGTTTCGCCTTGCAGTCTGACGGTGACTATCGGACGCGCTTCATTTTCGGGATATTCACGAGGTAGCTCTACTTCGAACCATACGGATTTCCAGTCATGCAGACTGACTTGAAAACAAGCTGTTGGAAGGGTGGATCGTAAATCGACTTGTTCTGGGGTTTCTGCATAGATTTCGAGAGATTTTGCCCAGGATTCACAATGCTCGGAGAATGCGAACTGTTCACCCGGAAGTAAGGAGCAGCTGATGAGCTGTAGTTCTTCGAGTTGACGATGGAGGGACATAACGGAGGGAGGCAGCCAAGTTACAGCCAAGGCAGATGCCGTCACCGTGACGAACATCTGTGATAAGATTAGCAGGACAGAATCCGATAAGATAACAGGAGCATTTGGTCGGCGCCTAGTCGCGCTTTTGCTCGCTTGCTTCCTGCGCTCATCTCCACTCATTCTCTCGACTCTTTCTCGCGTTCACCTCGCGTTTAATCTTTATGGAGCTCTCAAAAGGTAATCTAGAAGCATTCAAGTTGAGAATACGAACAACCTCGACCTGGCCTCAGCTCTGAAGTCTTGGCACTTATACCCCCACATGGGCCGTTGCACCCTCGGGCCTCAAGTAGTCTCCGGATATTGTCGAGACTTTGAAGTAGTGCGGCCGCTACGGGTACGAGAGGTTACACAAGCCTTCGACTACCCTCCAGCATCTTCAATATCAGCATATACATATAAGCTCCGACAAACCCCGTTCTCCTTGGTGAAAGAAATTCGTCGCAGCCCGTCGCCCAGGTGCTAAGCTTCAACTTCCCAGTCTTTTACCGCCCTCTGATTCAACCACCGTAATACACCGTCACTAATCACTGCTTCTCATCCTGAGATCTCGCACCAGGAATCTTAAGAAATGGATACCGACTCTGCTCGCGACTGCGTTTGACCCACCACCCTGGATAGCTGCACGGTCCTACACATACAAGCGGATATGACCGCTTCCTACCAAAAAAGTCTCATTAGCGAAAAGGAGGAATTTCGACGGTGGTTTCGAGGCTCGAGACCAGGAAACTCTACGGGTCACGACCGGCAAGGCTCTATCGAGATTGAGTATCCTTCAATATCAGAAACAAAGGCAAGGAGAGAAGTGGTGCGCTTTCTGTACCTTCGACTGTGTTTGCGCCTTGTACAGAGATGACATGGACAAGTGGGAATGAACTCACCACATAACTCTGTCACCTCTATCCCCATACTGGGCGCCCAACCTGCTATATATTGACTTTTCCAATTTTAGCAAAGCGCATCCCGCCAATCACAAAAACAGAACATGTACACATAATTATTCATCATGAATGTTCCATGGAGCTCGTTTATGTTTCCTGCAGTTGGCTCTCTCAGGCTCTCTTGTCGGCAGCAAGTGATCTTGTACGGACGAGTCGGCCCCGGGCGACGAACTTAGACATCGGCCGGGGGCGGTGTGGTGTAGTGGCATCATCACGCTGGCTCCGAGCGCTAGACTCTGTGGTTTCCCAGAGGTCTGGTGTTCGAGCCCCGTCCCGGGCCATCGTGCCCAAATGTACCAATGCCACGGGGGTTTTAGTGGGTATGTCTGACCATGTGGCCAGCCGGAGTCAACCAAATCGGCGTTGTACCGCCGCGGTTGTGCTCCGATCGATGGCCAAGGTCCCCAAATAGACGAGTCCCACACTACTATACGGATCATACGGGCCTCCCCCGAAGTGACGTATAGTGTGCATAACTAAGCATTTCCTCCATGGTGGGGCGTGTTCGGTGCACGCGACCTGGTACCCCGCGCAGGAATTCCTCGCATCCAACAGCAGTGTCTCCGGTCTCGGTCAATTCCGAGTTTAGGCGGCGTTCGAGGCGACGCCACGGGGAATGTTAATGCTCCACCAAAAAAAAAAAAAAAAAAAAAAAAACTTAGACATCGGCCCGATGACTCAATACGTTTGGCGACATCCTCCAATCCAAACAGCCGGCTGTTGACAAACGTTCGATGTTCGGATGGCCGACTGATTTTTTTCTCCTTTCCTTGCGACACCCATCTCCCCTTTCGCGTGTACCTCTATCAGCTCCATATTTTGGTTTGAGCAGCCCCCCGGCATCATGGGATATCTACCAAAGGAAGCTCTTGACAATCTCAAGAAGTACTCGTATAAAGGGGTTGACAAGTGCGTCAATGCAGTTCTCTAATCTCAATCACTCCAACCAGATAACCGACCGTCATCATTTCTATTCACAGGTCCTTGGTTTCCAAATACATCTTGGGTCCTTTCTGGACGTGGTTTGTAACCTTATGGCCTGTTACTGTAGCACCTAATACTGTGAGTCATCAGCTCGAGGCGAAGATGAACGGTACGCGCTGACACTAAAAACCAGATTACGCTTTCGGGACTATCCATAGTCTTCTTGAACTTCCTCACTTTGCTATATTACGACCCGACATACTTGACCGAAAAAGGAGGAGCGACCGGACCACCGCATTGGATCTATTTCACGCAAGTAACACGCGTTTTAGGCGAGAACACGCGGGATTGACCAATTTCTTAGATGGGGTGCAGGGCTGTTTTTGTACCAGAGCTTTGACGCCATTGACGGGTGCGTTACGTGCAATTCATAGTTTAACTTCATAATGTCTGACCTTTTTTTTTTCCATTTTCACCAGCAAACAAGCAAGGAGGACTGGCATGGCCGGGCCGTTAGGAGAAATGTTTGACCATGGTTCGTCGAATTATAGCGGACACTGTCAAGTGCTGACCTTCGTGCAGGGTGCGATGCCATCAACACCACTCTCGAGGTCATAATCGCAGCCCAAGCCCTCAACCTTGGCCGTTCATGGTGGACCGTAGCCTCCCAGATCGCTACCCTTGCCAACTTCTACCTTACGACTTGGGAAGAGTACCACACTGGTGCTCTCTACCTCGGAGTCTTCTCTGGACCTGTTGAGGGAATCCTCATGATCATCGCCATATACGTCATAACCGCCATCTATGGTACGTCTCCGTCCACCGTCTCCCTCACTCTAGCATTCATAAAACTTTTCCAGGTCCCTCCTTCTGGGACACTGGGATTCTCACCTTCCTCGGACTCGAAAAATACCCACCACTCAAAGATATACCCAACATTGGCTTGAACGAGTCCTTCATGGCCTTGGGCGCCATCGGTCTCGCCTTCAACATCATCAACAGCTACCACAACGTCCGCGTCGCCTGTCGTAAAGCTGGCAAATCCGTCCTCAGCCCTCTCACAGGCCTCATCCCATTTTTCTTCAGTGCTGCAATCCAAATCGCCTGGCTAAGCCACCCCAGGTTGGAACACTCCGCGATTTTATACTCCCCGCTTTTCATACCGTTCTTGTGCGCTTGGGGATTGCAGTTTGCACATACGGTCGGGAGGATGATTCTTGCGCATGTGACGAGTATGCCATTTCCGATGTGGAATTGGATGTGGATTTGGAGTATTATCGGGGCTGTAGATGTTAACTTGCCCAGGTTGATTGGGAGGTGCGTCCCTGGCTTCGTTTCTCATACTGACAGCTATTCTGACTTGTCTTTCTTGCGCAGAGGCCCCCTCATCCAATCCAGTGACGAGAACATGGCGTTGTTCGTGTACCTTACGCTGGTGATCTCGATCATCGCGTACGGGAGATTCTGTACGCTGGTTATCCGGGACATCACGAACCACCTTGGGATCGCTTGTTTTACGGTCAGGAAGAGGGACGCTGACGGCGAGTGGCATGATGCGTCGAAAAGCGCGCCTGCAGCGGCTCCGAAGAAGCGGGAGTGACTATATGGCAGCGCCACTTCCTCTAGTGAATCGTTTTTGATGAGCCCTGTTTGATTGTGCCATGTGTCTCTGACTTTTTGGACCTCCCCCGCATCCCGCTTTTGCTTGCTTGGTTACACACGTACTTACCGACGACTGTTAATTGATGACCGATGACCGTACCGACTACCTACTACTACTCACAACCTATGTTAAAATTGTTGTATCTGATTCAGATGCTCATGAAGTTTATGAACTTGGGGAATCGAATTTTAGAATAGACTCGGACTGTAGACACACGACTTGCGCTGTTAGCACTGCCCGACGAGAATCTATACACCATAAGACCCTAAATTTAGTCATTGGCCGACTAGCTCAGTTGGTTAGAGCGTCGTGCTAATATGGTGTTCCACTTAGAACAAATATTAACGCGAAGGTCTTGGGTTCGATCCCCACGTTGGCCATTAATTTTTGCTTGTGAGGTCAGAGGGTATCATTCTGACACATCGGAAGTAACTAGAACTCGTATGGTGACAGCCTACGAATACATCTCGGCGTTGGCTTCCTCCAAGCTTGTTCCTCTTCCTCAGTTTGCTTCATGTGGTCTGGGATATATGTATCCGCCGGTGGAGGACCACTAAAGAAAGGCCATGTGGGAAGGTAGCAGAGTTCCTGTGGTTGTATCTTAGTGTCTTTCGCTCGGAAGGGGAAGGGGAAGGGGAGAAAAAGCAAACAGCGTACCTCGTCCCCACACGCGGGTTTGCACTTCACCCACATACTCCAATCGAGCCATTCCATTAGCCTGGTGATATCGGCTTGCCAGGTGGTTACAATGCCCTGTATACTTGTGTGGTTGGCAGACTTTGAGTTAGAGCCAGTCGATCTCGCGAGGAACCCGACACCCCATGCGTTGACCAACACTCGACAGATCTCCTTCGATGTTGTCCTGATAGAGGCGAGGAGGAGTTGCTCTGACTTAGTCAGTCGTTCGCTGATTGCCTCGGTTCGTACGATGTGCGATGTGTGAGAGGAGCTGCATAGGTCATAGATGCGTCCCAGATCCAGTGCTGACTCGGTATTCTGAGTATCCGGGATGGCATCATCGAGGAGGTAGGGCATGAGTATGACTTCTAGTTGTGTAAAGGCTTTGGTGAAGGTGTCTTCGAGGACTGAAGCCGAGCTGAGGATGTATCTGAGGACTTCCAACCGCTTTCCGTACCGTTTGACGATCACGTTCATCAAGGCCGACCAGTCCAAGCTACTCCCTTGGGTGCTGGTAGAAGGTTCCACTTGCAGGACCTCTTTAACCCGCCCTCGGAAGGCATCGACGTTGATCCCAGAATTAGCAGCTCGATGGTCCCATCTTTCCTGTCCTCTATACGGAGAAGAGGAGGAATTAAGTAGCCACAGTTGTGGATCGTATAGTGTGATAATCCTCGACAGATCAAGCTTCACCCTCGTCTCTCCCGGAAACTCATTATGCATAGAACTCGAATGGATGAGTTCAAAGTTCCGGAGTTTGATCTCCTCTGGGTCTCGACTGATCTGTGTGCGTTCGGTATGCAGTTTGACAAAGGACACCGTCTCGAGACCGCCTTTAGGCGACATGTCGCATAACATGACTTCGCTATCGGTAGACCAAACGTCAGCTACGGGTAGGTCTTTGAATCAATGACAGAACTCACAAATCCATCTCCATCCTAACAAACCCATCGAACCCAAACGGTCTCCCCCACTCCTGACACAACATCTCCAATCTCTCCCCCTCGCTGAACGCTTTATCGTCCCTTGCCTCTCCCCAGAGTAACAAATCTTGCACGTCCATCGATCCACCGCGTATCTTGACCGCGGAACTACCATCAAAGTAGATGATGTTGAGAGGGCGGGTGGTGACCAGAGTGAGGTGCCAGCATTCATCGCCTAGGCGGCAGAAGAGATAGGAGTGTTCTGGATCTACGGATGTCCAATCGGAGGCGTTGGGGAAGTGAGGATCTGAGCGGCCGTGGTAGAGGAGGGTGCCGATGGGGATCGTACCAGGCACTAGGGCATGGCCTAAAAGTTGTGACCACGGAAGGTGTCAGCAAACGATGGGAGCGATCGGCGGTGGTAAACGTCGACGACGAACCATGGCGATAACGGACATTGGGCCAGTTCTGTAATAAGGAGTGTACGGTGTTGAACACTAAATGGCCGGTGTCGGATGGGTCGGGAGGCGTGCTCAAGTTCCAGGCGTGAAGTTCCTTGCCCTGAGGACGTAACTTTAGGATGCTAGAGTCGGGATTTCCTGCTGATAAGCCCAGACGTAGCAGGAGAGCAACCGATAGGGTCAACAAGCCCAACTTGAAGATACGGAAACTACCCTTCGAAGGATTGGGGGACATCATTTCCATCGTTCATAGCCTGCCGAGCTGTGAAATCGAATAAAGTCGGAGCTTGCCATTGTCGATAAATCCTTTATATGTGGCCACGGCTCAGAGGCACAGCTGCAGCGATAAGTAAGGTACCAGGGGGTTCATGGATAAAGGCCGGCACAAATAGTCTGAATTCTATTCAATCCCACAATTCAGTTCGCCTTATGATTCGCGGAAGTCCGAGAATCATACTGTGCCGGACCGCCCAAGAGCACTCACCTGAATAAACGAGACTGGAAAGAAGCCTCGACGTCCTGTTCGAGACTGGGGTTTTGAGTTGGTTCCTGAGAAATGCGCGAGCTTGAAATCATTGAGGGGAAATTCGACCTACTCACGATTATGCCCACGGAAAGACGAGCCTCTGCGTATTTCAGAGTTTCAAACCCTCCGAGGACATGACGGTGAACAAACGGAGTTGCGAGTTTGTGTGGTGGTGGATCTGAGCCAACTCGGAGTTGGAATTCGCGTCCCGCGACGCGGTCTTCCACTGTGCACGTGATGTAGTATTCCGGGCCCCGGCCCTCGTACCCACGCCTTGTCTCTTCTTCGGCTCCCACTATGGTCTGAATCTCGAGCCGTGTTATGAACGCTCCAATACCTGCGTCAATCTCAACTGTGGCTTTTCTCTCTTCCTTCAAGCTTTACTGGATCCTTTCTGTGGAGAACTCTCGTCCACGAAAAGGGCGGACGAAACGTACCCTTCGAGTTGAGGACCTGGCAGACCGTACATTGTTCTGGGTCGCTCCTTCCAGGATAGTTTATATCGAGCTGGGTATAACTTTGCAAGGCATTGATCAACACTTCAAATGCACTAAATACCCTACGCGATGTCTCGGAATGACGTTTCTGGTATCTGTTTCTTATTAACATCCACTTCGTGTGGTGGCGATAGGGATTGTCCCGGCTTTTACTTGCCATCGCTGATTTGAATTCATCGTATTTCGATGTGTCAAGTCCGCCGTTCATATACCTCTATTGATGCGAATGATATTCGGGTCGGGCTCCTTGGTTCTGAATATAAGTCGCTCAGACTCTTCTGACTCTCATCTTGTTTAAGTTACGAAGACTTCTACCCGCACTTTAGGGGCCCATACTGGCTGCTGATGATAAAAGAGGGATGTACTTCTGGCTCGTATCTATCATCCTGTTGGCCGATACGCCGACACTGTACAGTTCAAACTGCACCTGGCTACATCCAGTCATTGCGATCTTCTGTTGTTCAAACGTTCACGGTTCATCTCTCGCCATTATTCGGGTCACAACTCCTACCACTGCTTCAATGCTTACCTTGCTCCGGTGACAGAATCCTCCAAGAGCAAACGTCATAGAAACATGGGAAGAGTCTATTGTTCTAAAGTCCGACAGCATGTAGGGAATCAATGATTCGTCTCCAGCAATTTGACTTCATTCATGCTTTCTGCCATCGGTGGGTACAATGACAGAAAACTGACAGCGCCGGGTATGCCTCAGCTCTCTCGTTCGGTTCCAAAGGATAAGAGGGTATGACATAGTCTTACCCTTCCAAGTTTGTGGTATAAAAGTGGTTCATATCCACGGGAACACCAGACTATCAGCCCCTACTACTACAACCACAACCGACATCTTCTTGATATCTTCCCCAACTTTTGTATAACCATGGCTTTGAGAATGGTATTCAACCCTGACACCCTCAAGCGAGACGAGCAACCAGAGATTATCCGTCTTTGTAACTTGGCTTGGAAACACCCAGCTCTCACGTCCTCGACCGAGGCCGTCGTGTATTCGTACGTGTTCAGTGTGCCTTTCCTCCTATCTTGCCTTTCTTTTTCTCCATATGAGCCGTATCTGACCACTCGAACTTGTAGTGCTCCTAGCCCACGAGGTCGAGTGTGGTGGCACGTTACTGAAAACGACACCCGTGAACACATCACGGTTCGGTACAATCGCAGAGCCAACCGAGCTCACGTTTATCGGGATGGCACTGTCAATGTAAGCCCTCAGAAGCCGCTCCGCATGAAACTCAAGGAGGACTCCGGGAACACAGAAGACGAGGAGGAATATGAGTCTGTCTCGGAGCTTTCAGGCGAGGAATTTAGTGACGACGATGGGTCAGAGTGAAGGGACCAGGACCAGCTATGTATGTGCCGAGCTACTTTTGCGCGAGGGTTGATCGTGTTCTGACGCTTCATGGTATATCTCAGTGTCCTAACGTGGCGGGGGAAGCCAAAGACGGTGTAGTAATTCGAGATCGCACAATGTATGATGAAGCAGTTAGCTGCAACTTGCAACGGAAAATGTCGAACGTGTGCAAAGTTATGTCTTTTCAAACTCTGTTACTCGCGAAGCGGGTTATTCGAATCCGTTCCTGACAGCAAGACGCGCGAAGTGCAAGAAAAAACTCAATCCATTCCTAATTACGCCCTTACAGAAACGAGTAAGTTACCGGCCCGCTATCAGCACGAATCCTATAACAGAAATCAGCACATCCATCTGCCATCTTCCTAATCATCATCGGAGCCAGATCCAGAACCCGGCTCGTCGTCGTCGTCTGTGCGAACGATCAGAACAAACAACTTGCGGCATGAAATCTTGATAAGACATACCGTCGGCAATATCTGCGGTGTCAACGTAGCTCTGCGCATTGGCCTTTCTGATCAGGCCCTTCGTTTTCTCGTCCCCGGGCTTGACTAGGTCAAGTGCCGTTTCGCCGTGCTTGTTCTTTATCCTAAAGGAATGGTTAGGATCTTTTGACGGTGTGGCGTGATTATTTGGACGTACTTGGTATCAGCTCCGGCATCTAGCAAGCTTTCTACTACGTGTGCTCTAAGCTCGTCATCATCTAGTTTGACCGCGAGATGGAGAGGCGTTTCTTTGTCCATTCGGTTGATGGGGTCAACGTCGCATTCTTCGTGTGAGAGTATGTGTTCTAGAACATCTGTTGATCCATGAGCTACTCTGCATAGGAGAGTGTGGGTTAAAGCAAATCTCTCTGAGCGTCAAGGAAGAGCGTACGCATTATGCAGAGCTTTAGAGTTCAGAAGCGATAATCAGGATGGTTGCGATATTGGCGATAT